ATACATAGTTATTTTCATAATAAATAAAACTTTTTGTACTTAAAGCAGATTTTTTATTTTTATTTTGTTGAATGAATCCTATTATTATTATATATCTATCAAAAATTCTAATACTCAATAATATTTAAAAAAAAAGATGTGGTGTCGTGGGACACCAGGTAGGAACGCGCCTGCGCACATCTCATGTAACGGTTTTATTCCACGGACTTTTTCTTATGGTTTTACTATCACATTTTTTTCAGTTCGGTCGCGCAGCAAAATCCCTATCTCCTCCAAGCCTGCCGCAAGGAACTTCGTTCCAAAAATAACTTTAAAGTTTCGGGTATCTCATACCCACCTCTTAGTTGGTGTAACAATTTCTCACGTCATTCACGACGGGTTTAATTTTGAAAAGTTGGGGTTGGCGTCATGTCAACGTTGCAGAATCACAGTTATTCTTATTATTATCAAAATGCAAGCATTTTGACAGAAGCATGAAACGGTCATGTGTCATCTCCGCAGAGAAACCCGGTATAGAAAAAATATTTTAAGATGTGCTCCAATACTCCTCTAAGCAACTTTTTACAGCCACTCCCATAGCCAGAATGATGGCAAGATACGTGTAAAGTTCGTTTACATTTGTATCTCGCCACATCCGCCGTCCATCCACATCCGTGCCGCCCGGGACACCAATGAAGGCTGGACAATATCTTCATTCTCTTCTTTGCTGCCTGAAAGGAAAAAAAAGATATAAGTTGTGGTTTTTATTGTAATAAGCACTTTACTTTCGCGATTATTGACAAAAACATTGATGTCATAATGTACTTACCATAACTGAGTAAATCTCTTCATCAAGAAGAGATCTGGACTTGGACGGAGAGATTCTACAAAATAGAAAGGATATTTTTATCGAATATTTTAATAAGTTGTGTGGACGAGCTCACAGCCCACCTATTAAGTGGTTACTGGAGCCCATAGACATCTACAACGTAAATGCGCCACACACCTTGAGATATAAGTTCTAAGGTCTCAGTATAGTTACAACGGCTGCCCCACCCTTCAAACAGAAACGCATTACTGCTTCACGGCAGAAATAGGCGGGGCGGTGGTACCTACCCGTGCGGACTCACAAGAGGCCCTACCACCAGTAATTAAGAAAATTATAATTTTACGGGTTTGATTTTTATTACACGATGCTATTCCTTCACCATGGAAGTCAATCGTGAACAATTGTTAAGTACGTATTTCATTAGAAAAATTGGTACCCGCCTGCGGGATTCGAACACCATTGCATCGCTATATACGAATGCACCGGACGTCTTATCCTTTAGGCCACGACGACTTCAAATTTTTGTATGGTATTTTATATTTTATATTGCTAGTATACCGAGATAAACTTATAGTTGTCGACGAGCTCTTCCGGAAGTGCGGTCCGGACTTCTGAAAAGTAAAACAAATGCTTAATAACTTATAAAAAAATTAACATAAAAAAATATGTTTCATAAATATTTTCAAATTCAAATTCAAATTCAAAATCATTTATTTCAACTTAGATGTCAGTATGACACACTTGTTGAATGTCAAAATACAAATAACAATGTTAACTCTACCACCGGTTCCAAAAAAAGCCACAGTCCTGAGAAGAACCGGCGAAACAAACTCAGCGGTTTTTTTTTTTTTTGTTTTTTCTCAAATATTTTCTTTTTTTTAAATAAATAGAAATATTCACAATAAAAGAAAAAACAAGTCAAAAAAATACAATTAAAAATAATAATAATAATAATGAAAAATGAAAAGGCCAGGAGCGAGCGCCTCATTCCCACGTAGTGCCATCTAGTAAATAAAAATTTACTTAGGGCGCTCGTTCGTCGGAGACGGAGACGTAGTTCTTGCCTCGCTGATGCCAGACCCACATTCTAAGTATTTACAAAAAATTGAGTTAAAAAATGGGTACAAATTGAAATAAAATAAAAACAAGTAAAGCACCTATTTCAAAAATCTCATGTTTTTATGATTCTGAACTAAGCGATAATTATTAATTAAAAATTTAATATAAATTTAATGATTCGAAAATTTAGTTTCTCTAATAATATATTTTCCTTTATTTATTTATTTACAAAATAGGTTATATTATTGAATAAATAGTTACAGGGCAGGTGATGGCACCGAAAGCTCCATTCTTTCTCCGCTGGTCGATGCGACCTCTTGCAGAGAAGACCATATTTCTGATCTGAAGACTGAAAGTTTTAAGATACTGTTTTCCTGTTAAACAACATAAATATTTAAAACTATCAGAATACACACAAACTATCATTCACCACAATAGGAGGGAGCACCCTTACCATCTTAGGGTGCAGTGGCCTTTCTAGGGGTTGGCCAGGTGGCAATTACTCAATTGGTACTGAAACGAGTCTGAAATACGTATTGACAATAAAATAAATATAACAATATTAAATTTTTTTTATCGATAAACAGTAATAAATACTGTTACTGGCAGTAATGCGTTTCAGTTTGAAGTGTGGGGCAGCAAGTGTATGGGCTCCGTAAGCCACTTAGCATCAGGTAGACCGTGAGCTCGTCCAACCCATCTATGCAATAAATAATAATAAAAAGTTGTAGATGTGTATGGGCTCCGTCAACCACTTAACATCAGGTGGGCCGTGAGATTGTCCACCCATCTATGCAATAAAACAAAAAAAAGTTGTAGATGTGTATGGGTTCCGTTAACCACTTAACCTCAGGTGGGCCATGAGCTCGTGCGCCCATCTATTCAATTAAAAAAAAGTATTTAAAAATGTATCTTATTTTAGGTTTTAGTTTTAAGAGGTAATTACGGTTCAGAGGCCGAAGGTCTGACTTGGTGGCGAATACCGCCACGTGTGCAGACACTTTTACCGCCACCACGACCACCCCTAGATCGGCCACGAGCTGTATAACGTTGATTGGAGAAAAAAAAGTATAAACTAGTTCAATAAGCTCATACAAAGAATCCAATCACTGGTATAAAATATATAAAAAATCAAATAACTAAGACAAAAAAAAAAACAAAAAAATTATTATGAAATTCAAACGCTATTTCCATATTAGTTTAACGCGGCCATTTTGCTACAAAGAACACTCTTTCTTTGTTGAATCCCATATTTGGACGCGTGGTGTGTTCTGTATCTTTGAGGTCGACATTTTTACATTTGCGACTAAAGTACACGTCTTTTGTAACAATTTTATTTAAGTTTATATTTTTACAATATGTATGATTTTCGTTTTGATTTTATTAATTTTTCTATCGAACACGACCAACTACAAACGACCGTTATGTCCGAAAAAAAAAAAAACGGTTAAAACACAAAATTAACAAATACGTGCAACATCTCGGAGCTCGACTTTCACATTGATTCACACAGCCGCGCTCCATTTTTTTGTCGTAAATATCGTGTGAGAGAGAGAGGGCCCATTTATTGTATACATACAGTTTTTAGAAATAATTAAGGTACCGTAATTTTATACCCCTCTGTGAGGAGTTCAATATTGGGACGACGTACGTCCAAGCTTTGAACGTATATCACTGGCGTTCAAATTGTGTCTAAACTTTATGTCTTTAACTTTATAGTTTTTACCTATTTCACACGATGACCGAAGATCCGACTGAGAGTGAGAAGAAAGATTACTGATTAGCCCGCTCACTGCGCATGCGTAGTAAGTGAATGAGAAGGCTGAATATACTAGCATAGCATAGCATAATAAATCGTACTGCTATAGTTTAATAGTGTTATTTTGTTTGAATGTGATCATATATATGAGTTGTCTATTATCAAAGGTGGCAATCTGTGCATTTGGACAAAAAAATGTTATTAAGGTGTCAATACAGATTGATTTGAATATAATCGTCTCCTTCAAAGAATACGGTTCAAAACCTGCATTAAATAAAGGTTAATACTTAACCTGTTATTTATCTAAGATGTCGTTCAGAAGAGTTTTGTGACTGCCAATGGAATACAAAGTCAATAATTCGTTTTTCTGATTTACCAATAATTGTCCAAAAGTCACATTACCGGCNTTTGAATATAATCGTCTCCTTCAAAGAATACGGTTCAAAACCTGCATTAAATAAAGGTTAATACTTAACCTGTTATTTATCTAAGATGTCGTTCAGAAGAGTTTTGTGACTGCCAATGGAATACAAAGTCAATAATTCGTTTTTCTGATTTACCAATAATTGTCCAAAAGTCACATTACCGGCTTTGATAATAGTCGACTCATATATCTTTTAAACTATCCTTGCTTTTTTTTTTCATAACGGTTTTCTTGTGGCTATGCAACTTATTTCTCTGCAATAAATATGTAGTATTGTTTTCTTTATTATTCGAATTTGTATTCTGGTTAAGGAATTATTTAATTTGTGTATACACATTTCTTCTAATTGATTACGATGATTTTTAAATAAATACGTACGAGGACTTTAAATATAGAAGATATATCTAGAATACCTATAGAAGAATACCTGTGTAAATAAATTAATGTACTTATTATAAGTTTCTATAAAACTGTGTGCCTCCAAAAGATTATAAAAGATATAATGTTTATTAAACGTAGGTATTAATTTTTGTAATTAAGTTGACAGTCCTAAGCTTGTCAAGTATGAGGGATTTTTATTTTACACACACACACACATACATACACACTTATTGTTCTAAGCCTTGTAATTTCAATTTTATTTTAAACATTCTTGAATTGTTTTAAATTAAACCGTTTTGAATTGAATCATTATAATATTTAGTTTACAAGAAGTAGATTATTATAAGGTTATTCTCTATCATAAATTTTTGTCAAATTACTATTTTGTTTTTATAGTTGAAATACTGTCATTATTTAGTCTCAGTTATATTATTTTAATATCACAATATGCGATCTATCGAATTATTTAGCCTTTGAGATCGTTGTAATATCGCTTAATTTATAAAGCTCATTCACAGTTATATTTCTTAGTACCTACCAGCAAATATTATTTGCAGTTTCAGGCAAATTATTCGACTGTGTACTTACAATATACCATGTTATATAAGATAATCGCCAGGTGCGAGAATTGATCATAGATGATGTATTTTAAAGGAAACAATAATATACTGAATAAAATTATTTTTCATATTTATTAGATAGTCATCTTTCATTTTTATTAAATTTTGTACAGTAGGCAGGTATTATTTAAGAACGTACAGCTTCAATATATTTCCAAGTATCGAGCTTTTTCAAATTATCGTTTCCTAGAGTAGTTGAAATGGTTGAAGTAACAATAGAAATAGCGCCATGGAACCTGTTGACGTATCCAATGATAACTTCCTCAATCAGCCTGTTGATAACAGCGTCGATGCTGCCACCACCGATAACTCCAGAGAGGTTGGACTAAAATGAAAAATAATAATATCATTAATGTATAATTAGTTAATGCTTATGACCTTGCATAATAATAGTAACATATGCGTTTGAGAGCTTTTATCCGATTGAGTTAAAATTGCTTGGTCGTGTTGGCATTGGGAATGTAGTACAATCTAATGATTCATTCGTTTGGTGATAGTCGCCGCGGAACGTTCGAGTACTCAAAATAATATGGATCATTGTTAATAAAATAGATATTGGACTACCTTGTGGACTGATGCCTTAGTTTATTAAAAATCATGCTTCTCATAGCGTTCGGAAAAACTGTCGACACCGTAAGTGTATATAACATTATATTGTCGGGGCGAGTCATCGAATACCAGTGGTAACTCCGGAAAAAAGATCAGAAAGATAGATGTGTCTGTTCTTAGCTCCTCCCGACAGTTTTCAGTCTACCTGTGATCATGGCGCTCGCAATCATACCGAAAGATGGGGAACTCATTACATAACAAAATGGTGGTATGAACCGGTTAAATAATATTGTATATAAGATATGAGTTTTATCAGAACTGCTCACTTTTAGGTGTGGAATAGTAAAGGCAGCATTTTCAACTCTATTAATGACTACTGATTTTTTGTTCTCGTGTTGCTCCAAAAACAGTTTGGCACGGAAGCGGAATCCTTCAACTTCGAATCTGGAATTTAAAAAAACAATTAGTAATTTATTGGTTTGCTTGAAAAGGACTTGGTTTTATTTTGTGTACTTTTTTTTGTGGAGTGCAAAAATATTGAAAAAAAATAGAAATCTATGTTCGTATTTAATGGAGGACATAGAAAATTTATAGGATTTATAATTTGTGTGTGTTTGTTTTTTAACGGAAGTTAGTATTGTGTGTACATATATGGCGCATGAAAATTGAAATATATTATTACTGAAACTTACTCAGCTCTGCCGTTTCCGAAAAGAGGAAGAGCACCAAAGAAATCTCCAACCAACTCGTAGTTTTCTAAAGAAAAAAAAAAATATGTAAGAGCTCATTCTGCCCTCGAGTGTAATTACTTTTTCTTAAATTAGGTTGGTTAATAAACAAAATAATTAAATAGTGTTAAGTGATTATCGGAGCTCATTAGCTTAACTAATGTTCCGCAAGAAATTTCGGTCGTGGGCGCTCCCGGTGACGGAGCGTCTCTAATCTCGGCAGCTGCGGGAGATTGTCTCCGGGCTGCTCCTGCGGATGAAGCACCACCTTCCATGGGCACGCCGCCACGCGCAGACGTGAATTGTGATGCTCCTGCTGAGGTGTTCCCTCCGAGCATCTCGGAGGAGGAGGTTCGTGCGGCCATGTCGAGGATGTACAGGAAGAACGTGCCTCTCGGCCCTGACGGTGTTCTCGGCGTCCCTGCGTATTTTCGTCGGCTGATCAGGTCCTACCTCGAGGACAGGTCAGTCGTGTGCACCAGGACGGTGGCGCGGAGCTTCCCCAACGAGCGCGGTGTTCCACAAGAGTCAGTCCTTTGCCCTCTCTTGTGGAACATCGGCTACGACTAGGTCCTGAGGCGCCCTTCGCGCTCCTCTCCTGGTCTGAGCGTAGTTTACTACGCGGACGACACTCTGGGCGTGGCCCGGAGGAAGGATTTGTGCGAGTCTTTCCGTCTTTCCTGCGCGGGAACAGCCTTCGTCATTGGCAGGTTCCGAAGGCTGGGTCTGGAGGTGGTGCTCGATAAATCTCAGGCCCTGTTGTTTCACGGGGTTTGACGGGGGCACCTCAGGAGGCCCATCTCATGTCCGCGTCGAGATCAAGGTGACTGGGTGAGATCGGACGTCGGGTGTAGGAGTGCAGGGGAGTCGTTTAGTGGGTGGGCTCTAAAATTCCTTGGGCCCGCGGTCTGCCCCCAACACTTTGCACATCGTCAAGTCCCACATACCCCGCGCGCCCCTTAGGCGCGGGGACCTCGTAGGAGGTTCGGCCCCCGGCCCGAAAAAAAAAAACTCGGTCTCGTACTGGACGTTTGCTGGAGTTTCCGTGCTCATTTTGATAGGTTGGCGTCCCGACTTATGGCAGCCGCCGGCTCTCTCATTCGGTTGTTGCCGAACGGTGGTGCGCCGTCTCTACGCTGGGGTTGTGCGGTCGCGGCGGTACGAGGGCGTTCGTCCAACTCTGACTCCTGTGAGGAGTTTCCTACCGATTATGGTCACGGGGCGACCTGAATGGTTCGAAGCTGCGTCGAACGCTACCGTCACTCTAGCATGCTGGCCAGGAGGATGGGACGGCACGTAGTCGGCGAATATAGTGTGAACGAGCAACCCGGTTGATGGCGCATCGCGTTCCGACCCGGCAGGCTGATTCTGATCCATCGAGGTATCCCGGAATACCAGCGGCATCGCCCGGGCAGCCTGGTAGAGCCGCTGTACCGTGGATACCGGCGTCGTTGGTCGCTGACTATCGCCTCGACGACTCGTCGGTAAGGCGTCCTCGAGGTGGGGCTGCGAGTCTGGTCGTAGTGTTGACCGCGGGAACCTCCCTAATCTGACCGGGTTCTGATCCCGGATAGAGATCAGACGTCGGGTGTAAGAGTGCAGGGCAGTCATCTAGTGTGATAAGGCCATAAGAATATCCTTGGGCCTGCGGTCTGCTCCCAATACCTTGCAGATCGTCAGGTCCCACATACGCCGCGAGGCGCGGGGAACTCATCGGAGGTTCGGCCTCAGGCCCAAAATGAGAGGGCCATTAGCATCACAACGTAAAAGTTGCCGCCCTCTTTGACATATCGTATTTTTGCATTAAAATTGTACAATTTCCAAAAATATACGAAATTGAGTTAATATGCGGAATCATTTGGAATCACCAGTATTTTTCTCATAAATGCTGTCAAAAGAGCGTAGTTTAGTTTTTTTTTTAGATCTTATGGTTTTACTACCAAAATTAACACATAATTTTATCTTACTTTAAAAGACAGATAATGTACAATTAACTGGTAAAAAAAAAATGAATGTTGCAAAGATGATTAATATTAAAAATATTACATGTTAAGCCGTTAACTTAAAACACCCTCCTGTAAAATTAGTAATTTTTGAGAGTACACAGCTTTAATGCGAAAAGACGATAATAATATCTCACTGAGTTTAAAATCTCAACTATTGCACAATGCTTGGAACAGTTAAAATATGGAACAGTTAATACTCAATATTTTCGAACATTTTAGGAACTTACCAGCAGTAATATCAAGTGTGGGTAGACCAATATCGATATCCAAAGTAAGGTCATCGACGTTGAGATCGATTTTGTGTACAATCAGGTTTCCAAAACCAAAGGCGATGGCATCTTTCAACTTGAGTTCGACGCTAAAATAAATACGTACATATGTACATATCATAATTATTCATAGAAGTTCACTTTCTTTTTTGTTTTTAAAATACACTTAGTTTATATTTTGGTGATATTTTTTAAAGCCCGCTTTCAAGTTAAACCATTATTGAAGAAGACTATTCTTGAAGAAATTTAATTTTTGTGAAATAACATATTGTCAATAATCATTTTACTGTCACAAATGAGCAGTCGATGTCACGACAATGGTATTAGTTAGTTACCGGTGTCCATATATGCATGTACATATACTAAAAACGTGAAGGCCGCCAATCAATCACTACAATTTATTAATATCCAATAAGATTGAGACACCGAAAGAAACTCTCTCTCTCTTTAAACTGAAAGGCTGACTGTTTCGAGGCAGATATGTTGAAACGGTGGGATCGAACCCTATCCTACGACCAATTAAATATGTACTTCTTATGAAGCTTCTATTCACACAAGAGCAGCGGAGTTCATCCATACTTATTATCTGGAACCGCTGCATTCATCGACATTGTGTTTCCAAAGATCTCTTCTGCCACGTACCATTCGGCTCTGGAATGAGCTCCCCTCCACCGTGTTTCTCGAGCGCTATGACATGTCCTTCTTCAAACAAGGCTTGCGGAGAGTACTGAATCGTAGGCAGCGGCTTGGCTCTGCCCCTGGCATTGCTGACGTCCATGAGCGATGGGAACCGCTTACCATCAGGTGCCAGCAAAGGCATTATATAAAAAATCAAATGCGCAAGTAAATTGTGGACAAATAATAACATTACGAGTATATAATTTACCCGTTACTTTTCTATAAAAGTATTAACAAAGTAAAAATATTAACTTACTTAATAATTCCAGCATTAATAGGTAGTTCGAAGTATTCTAGGACCAAAGGCTCAAGAGGGGGAAGATTGAAAATTGGCCAGCCATTCTCCACTACATTGTAAATGAACTTCAAGAGTTCTGCAACCAGCTCTTCTACGGTCTGTGGCAGTTGTGGAGTGTGGAGGGACTCAAGCTGTGGGGGCTCTTCAGGTGCTGGGGGTTCAGGTATAAGTAGAACGTTTAAATAGAAAATATTTAAAAAAATATCAGTGTATAGTAGTTATTAGAGATAACTACGGGAATCGTATTACTATCACTTTATCTTTGTATTTGTATTTAATTAGATTTTAATTAAAGCACAGTTGGGGTATATCTTTGGGAAACTCACAAATCTTTCCTACCCGCTGATTTTAAATATTAGTTAATCAGTAGCTTAAAGCTAATTCAATGAAACTATAATCTAAATCTAGACGTGAAAAACAAGATAAAGGTATGCACGTTTCTTGAAAATAATTAGAATTATTGCTATAATATTCTTTTTTATTAAAGCAAAAAAGGTTTAACGCTGGTGGTAGGACATCTTGTGAGTCCGCACGGTTAGGTACCACCGCCCCGCCTATTTCTGCGTGAAGCAGTAATGCGTTTCGGTTTGAAGGGTGGAGCAGCCGTTGTAACTATACTGAGACCTTAGAACTTATATCTCAAGGTGGGTGGCGCATTTACGTTGTAGATGTCTATGGGCTCCAGTAATCACTTAATATCAGGTGGGCTGTGAGTTCGTCCACCCATCTAAGCAATAAAAAATAAACTCACCATCATTTAGGACTGTAAGCTCCCATGGTTTCGCAGCTGCGAGGGCGCAAAGAGTCAAAATAATAAATAACTTCATCCTTAAATTGGACCTAAAAAGTAATACAAACAATCAAATACAATAAGTAAATAAGTAAAGTGTGTTTGGAATGAAAAATTTGCGTGCGAAAAAATAGGCATATATAATTCATGTACACTAATATGGATACAATGCTGTAGCACTGAAATCATGCAATCGTACGGACTAACAAACTGCCTTTCCACTACTAATCATAAGCAGAGAATTGGAAAGCCAAAGACATAACTCTTTCAATCAGATGAAGGACAAACGTTAGTCATAACTCAAAAATTCCAAGTCAGAACCTAAATTTTCTCAGTCATACAGACCCTTAGTACTTGCACCTGTAATAATAGTCTATACTAATATTATAAAGAGGAAAGATTTGTTTGTTTGTTTGTATTGAATATACTCCGAAACTACTGTACCGATTTGAAAAATTCTTTCACTGTTTGTAAGCTACACGTTTCCCGAGTGACATAGGCTATAATATTTTTTGAAAAAATTACGGATCCTTACTAAAACTCCAATAATGTAGCCCAAGGTGTAAAAAAAATACCTAAAATATTCTTTACATCGCGTGTGCTGCGAAAACTATTGATGATAGAATAAAATAATGTACTACGACTTTGTAGAACAGATTATTATTTATAAAAAGTGTCGTGACAGCATATTATGTCTAACTATTACTGTTATGCTGCAATAAGTGGTCTTTTATTTTAAAAAAAACACAACGTCAAATATTCTTGAAACTTTTGTTAAAGACCCGAGCGGAGCCGGAGCGGACTGCTAGTCTATAATATGAAGCTTATCAAGGGTACACATAACCCGTGCTAAAAATGTGTATTAGGAATATTTTAATTTGTATACTGTAACTGCGTTTAATATGAGCCTCTTGCCCGTCTATACCATTAAAAAAAAATATTATACCAGCGACAGATAGCAATTATGAAAGAAATTAGATTTAACAATGTGTTTGTTCTACGTACCTCGCATTCACTTCGCTCTTCGTAAACTACACTGTTCTGGGGAACGTCTTTAAATGTATTTAAAATGTAGTAGTAAAGTGTGAAATTTAATTTAAGAGCTGGGTTCTGCCTAAGCATCTATAAAATTATAGTCAAAATATATCAAGATAAAAACTTATTTAATTATATATACTGGAAGACAATATGGGGAATTTATGTTGCTTTAGCTTGAACCTAATGCGAAGGATTCTTGAATACTTTGGCCACATCGCAAGGAAAGACAGTGACAACTTAGAGAAATTGATGGTCACTGGAAAGGTCGAGGGCAAGCGACCAAGAGGCAGGAATCCGACCCGTTGGACGGACCAGATTCGTGCAGCCCTGGATACCACAGTGCACGATGCTCTGCACTCAGCTGCAGATAGGAACAGATGGCGGTGCACTATAAAAAACAATCTGTTTCAAGGCCATGACCACGACCCTCAGTAATGAGGAAACCGACGCAAGGAGGAGGAGCTTGAACCTAAAACATTATTTTGTTTTAGATCAACCAAAAGTGTTTATCAAATCTTATATTATTTAATATTTTTCCTGTTAAGATATGCTTCTGTACAAGTATCGTTGTTGTGTGGTGTGGTGTGGTATTATGATTTCTAACTACATGTTTAGTAAGATGGAACCCTAACGCTCACGGAAGGCAATCAGCAACAGTAATTTATTATCATTCAATAACATCAAAGTATATTTTATGAAAATAGTTGGATAAGATTGATCTATGTATATCAGATGAACGTCACTACATCTTTTTTAATCATTACGATAATATGCGTGCGGTGGTAACAATAAATCTACCGTGGGACGCAAAGATCATAAAATGTGTTTTTTACTGGTGGTAGGGCCTCTTGTGAGTCCGCGCGGGTAGGTACCACCACCCTGCCTATTTCTGCGGTGAAGCAGTAATGCGTTTCGGTTTGAAGGGTAGGGCAGCCGTTGTAACTATACTTGAGACCTTAGAACTTATATCTCAAGGTGGGTGGCGCATTTACGTTGTAGATGTCTATGGGCTCCAGTAATCACTTAACACCAGGTGGGCTGTGAGCTCGTCCACCGGTCTAAGCAATAAAAAAAAAAGTGATCGGAGGATTTTTGCAGCAGCAGAATTATTGAATCGGTTGCATACATTTCTGCCACTAAAACTACGCATACACAGTCTTACAGTCACACTTATATGATAACATGTTATAATAGTATGTTCAAAGGTGATTGAGGAAGGAAGGAACGAACGAGGAAGGAATACATAGATCATTACTTTTTGGGCAAGCTATTTGCGTTATGGTTAGTCGTGCTGCTTGCCTTGATTAATAAATGCTTACAATAAATAACGATTAGTTTTAAACATATAATTTGAGAGTAATTCCTTAGTAACCCATGAATTCAACGTACTGGTGCCGGGACTATCCTGTTACTGAGAGAGGAATTTAGAGAATGTCAGTGGACTTACGATCGGTGTTTTTTTTTTTTTTTTTTTATGATTGAAAGTTTACTGGTGGCCCGAAGGCCTTTCCAGTTTCACCAGGACAGGTGGGCGAGCAAAGGCTCAGCCAAGAGGGGTGGGATTTGCTAACAACTGCCCGAGCGCCTCCGAAGGAGACCTAACAGCTCAAGAGCAGCTGCTTCGCGAATGAATCTACTACCGGATCGGAATCGCGACCCGCTGAGAAGATCCGGCGAGAAACTCAGCGAGCTGATTCATGGGCTAGGTTGCACAGCGAACTCTTTGTCGAGTTCGACGAGTACGGTTACCGGGGTCCCTAAGCCTGCTCCTAGTGTTAGAGCTGAAGGCGTCTAATGCAAAGGTTATTGGATCTGATGGATCCGTAAGGACGTGTCTAGGGCGTCGACGGTGACTGGCTCCTGCATGATCAGGATTCGGGGAGTAGTCAGCGGCGGCAACGATAAGGCGATTATCATGACGCATATCCTTATCGAAGTATCGTTCCGACGCTGACTTCATGTATTTCCGAATTGATTCGAGGCCCAGGTNCGGCAGATGTACCACGAACACAGAAACAACAAAAGGAAACAAAACAAATAAAAACTTCCAGAAAGAGCACTTAGTCGGCAGATGTACCACAAACACAGGCCGCGCGAACAATGGCCGGGCTAACAAAAGCCGGGCGAACAAAGACCGGGCGATCGAGTGGACGATGAGCACGTCCGCACGTGACGGGTGCCTCTATCGGAATGACGATCGGTGTCTGCTGCCGCCCGCCGCCCGCCGCCCGCTGGTCAGTGGGGGACTTGAACCCGTGTGTCACTAAAAACCTCTGCCCCGGGAAGCAGTTCCGCCAATCGGTGTAAAATCCTGTCATTCGGTCATCGTGCCGCAGTCGGAGACCGGAGTGGATCCCGGGGATCATATGTAGGGTGGACTGGGGGCCCTTCCATGCCCTGCGTCAGCTCCTCGTGCAACTCCTGGTCGAGTGTTCACTGTGCACTGCGCTTTATTCAGGCATTGCCTTGATTTTATCTCTAACATCCTACCTCTCCAAATCCTTACTCTCCTACCAGTTTTTTACTCAAATGATAGTCGATAATAGGAAAAAAGTTTTTTTTGGCGGGCCTCTATTCCACATTTCATGTGGATTTCAGCAATGTCAGAGGCCTACACAGCAACTTTGACGCCGTACATCATCACCTTCAGACGGCGCAGCCTGTCCTCTTTTTCCTGACAGACACGCAGATATCTGCCCCGGATGATATTTTGTACCTCGAATACTCCGGCTACACATTGGAGCACACCTTCCTGCATAAGGCCGGAGTGTGCGTATTTATTCGGGGGGATGTCTGCTGCTCTCGCTCTGGTCGTCGAACGATGACCGGATTTCGAAGAGTTTGCCGGTACAAGTCAGCAGATTGGGACGGAATGTGTAAATTTTACGCATCCTACCCATGGGGGCGGCTCTGCTTTTCCTGACGAGAATCCTGACGTCTGTGCGGACCAGCTTAAAGATGTGGTGCTTCAGGGAATGAAATTATTCATTACTTCTTCTGTGGTGCCCGTTGGGGGTCGCAGCAAACCCTGGTATAATAAAGCCAGTAGGGACGCTGCACACCTCAAGTGGACCACTTATGCGGCATGGAATGATGCTAGAAGACGCCAGGACTCCGACATTTCGGAGAAGATGCGGAAATTTAACGCCACCTCTAGGTCCTATAAGAGGACTATTGGCAAGGTGAAATCGGAGGCCTCTAGGAGCCTCTAGGAGCCATGCTTTGTGATCGGTAGCTAAGGCCACTTCTGCAGGTCTCGTCTCTTCCGCCACTACGTAAGTCCGATGATAGTCTGGCCTATAGTGCGAAAGAGAAGGCTGACCTTTTGGTCAAACTCTTCGCCTCGAATTCCACTATGGATGACGGGGGTGCCACATCACCCAACATCTCTTGGTGTGATAGCTCTCTGCCTAAGATCTACTTCACACAGTACGCAGTCAGGCGCGAGCTCCAGAGCTCTGGATATCCATAAGCCGAGTGGGTCAGATTGCATCCCTGTAGTAGTTTTGAGGACGTGCGTCCCTGAGTTGACACTTGCGCTAACGCGTTTGTATCACCTCTCGTATAGTAATAACAGAGTGCCGTCTTCATGGAAGACCTCCCACTTCCACCCTATCCCCAAGAAAGGTGACCGGTCAAATCCACCGAGCTATAGGCCTAACGCGATAACTTCCTTGCTTTCTAAGTTGATGGAGCGAATAATAAATACACAACTCCTGAAGTATCTTGAGGATGGCCAGCTGATCAGTGACCGAAAGTACAGTTTCCGTCACGGTCGCTCAGCCTGCGATCTTCTTGTATACCTTACTCATAACCTACATAACAACCTCTATGTATATCTATGCGAAAACATGTTAAAGGTCCCTAATGATAGTAAACTTTCGTGTCATGAGTAGCAGGTATGGGAATTTGAAGCTTAAGAAAGGTAACTGAAACTTCATTCTTGTATGTCAAGGGTGGTCTTTACAGTGCGGTGCTTATATTCTACGGCGTAGAATC